AGGTTTCTAATTACTGTTTCAGTGTCCTTCTAGGTATAGGTATTGCCTTGAGTTGAATGTCCCCCCAAAACTTAATCCCCACCGTGACTGTTAAGAGGGTGGGAAATCCTATTATGGTAATTGCAAGGTGGGGACTTGAAGATGCGATTAGATTCTAAGGACCATTTCTAGTGAATGACTTAAAAATGGTAGTCACGGGCATGCTTCTGAGGGGTTTACAAGGAGAGTGCAGGAGTAGCTATCTCTCTCTCTCTGTTTCACCATTTTAACAATATGATACTCCATTTTCACTGTCACCAGCCCCAAGGTTCTCACCAGATCTGTTCCCTGGACTTTGGACTTCCCAGCCTCAGAAACTGTAAGCAAATAAATTTTATTTTCTTTATAAAATACCCAGTTCCATATATTTTATTACAAGGAACAGAACAGAAATGGACTAATACAGATATGTTCAGATTTTTTTTTTTTTTTTTTTTTAAAGATGACCGGTAAGGGGATCTTAACCGTTGACTTGGTGTTGTCAGCACCACGCTCAGCCAGTGAGTTAACCAGCCATCCCTATATGGGACCCGAACCCAGGGCCTTGGTGTTATCAGCACCGCACTCTCCCGAGTGAGCCACGGGCTGGCCCAGATATGTTCAGATTTTTTTTTTTTTTTAAAGATGACCGGGAAGGGGATCTTAACCGTTGACTTGGGGTTGTCAGCACCACGCTCAGCCAGTGTGTTAACCAGCCATCCCTATAGGGGACCCGAACCCAGGGCCTTGGTGTTATCAGCACCGCACTCTCCCGAGTGAGCCACGGGCTGGCCCAGATATGTTCAGATTTTTTATTTCTTCATGATTTAGTCTTGATAGGTTATACATTTTTAGGAATTTATCCATTTCATCTAGGTTATGTGATTTGTTAGTTATAATTGTTCATTGTAGTACCTTATAACTCTTTTTATTTATGTGACATCAGTTGTAATGTATCCTCTTCCATTTCTAATTTTAGCTTTTGAGTCTTCTCTTTTTTCCCTTTAGTCTAGCTAAAGGTTAGTTACTTTTTTTTGATCTTTTCAAAAAATCAACTTTTAGTTTTATTGATTTTTTTCTGTTGTGTTTAATATGTCCTCTATTTCATTCATCTCTGTTCTAATCTTTATTGCTTTCTTCCTTTTGCTGACTTTGGGTTTTGTTCTTCTTTTTCTGGTTCCTTGAGGTATACAGTTAGGTTGTTGATTTACAGTCTTTTTTCTTTTTACATGTAAGTGTTTACCACAATAAACTTTCCTCTTAGTACTGCTTTCTCTGCATAAGAAACTTCCATTCCATAAGTTTTGATATGTTGCATTTTAGTTTTCCTTTTTCTTCAGATATTTTCTAAATTCCCTTGTGTTTTCTTCTTTGACCCATTTGTTGTTGAAGAGTGTATTGTTTAATTTCTACATATTTGTGGATCTTCCTGGTTTTCTCCTGGTATTGATTTCTAGCTTTACTTCATTCCATTATTTATGAGTGGGTTTTTGAAAGTGGCTTGATAATACCAGTAAAGAACTTTTCTATGATTTCAAATGGCTTGCTCAAAGCTTGTATAACAACAATATAGTCAATATCTGTAAAAACCTGAAACTATCACTTTAAGGCCAAAACATTATTAGATACTTAGATATCAGGATTTCTTTAAAAGGATAAACAGAAAGTAAATGGCTTAAAAGTCAGGAGTTTGACACTTAGCAACATTTAGTCTGTTTTTTATTTTACTCACTATAAAAACACAACCAAATACTACAATAAAACATAAAAAAATACTCTCTAGAGAAGAAAGCAACAAATATCAGGCTGTTTGTACAGTACCACTTGCCACATGTGGCTATTGAATGTTTGAAATGTGACTAGTGCAACCAAGGAGCTAATCTTTAATTTAATTTAAATTTAAACAGCCACATGTGACTAACGGCTATTACATTGTACAGTACAACTCTAAAACAAGAGAAGTAATATGCCCCTCATTATTCTGGGCTGATTGATCACATTTACACTAAAGCTTTCAATTTTTTGAGGTGAGAGATGAGTTGAAAGATATGTTGTAGAGGCATATAGACAAATGTTAGTGCAGTTGAAGAGTAACGGTAAGAAAATTAGAAATGGTATTATATCAGAACTAGGTTGAAGGAATTTGAGGTGGCCTTCGAGGTGGGAAAATGACAACTCATTTAAGCAATTAATAGTTCAATGGTTGGAAGAATAATTAGATTTATTTTGAAGGTTTTTCATAGAAAGAATTAGAATCAATGGATAGCTCGATGCAAAGAAGAAATTTCTAACGTGAGTTCCCTTATTTGAAGGAGTCTAGTCCTAAACTGTATGACCTGGCCTTTGTACTGATGTTACAGCATTACAATTTCACTCCTCTCACTAAGAAACACAGTCCAAACCGGGGAATCACCCTTGAAAACAATATTTCCACTCTTGGGATCTAAAGCATATTAATGGAAAGGGTGGATATTTTTATAATGAGAGGAAGATTTAGAGACAAAGCTTAGGAAGACATTTGAGGTCCTCTGGAGAGGATTTTACAACATATATTTAGGGTCAGTAAGAATCAGGGATTCAAGGTCTGTACATTGACATAGTACTAAGTTAATTTCTCACAATGAGCTTGTGAGTTTTGGATTGTGATCCAAGATTCTTACTGGAATCTAGCTAACCACTGATTACGAAATTCCAAATAATTTTCTTAAACAAGAAGACTGCTATTATGATATGACTAAGTTTTTGCCTATAGATTACGTCTTGTCTAAACTTGAATCATTTAAACCATGCACTTATGGGTTGTACATTTCTTAAAATTAAATTGTGGGTGGTGATAATTTGCTATTCAGTCATCATGTTCATCTCTGGAGATATGCCTTTGTGTTTGGTTTCCTCTTCCAAGCAGCATTATTCACAATAGCCAAAAGGTGGAAACAACCCAAATGTTCATCAGCA